TTTTCTCTTTTTTTCCTGTTTATGCATCCAAGTCTCATTTTTCACCGTGGTAGCAATATGAAGCATCTTACCAAATGCTGATACAGTCAAATTAAAAGCACTGATGACCCTCATGACCCGGACACCCGCCTCAAGCACAACCCACAATGTTCAGCACCACACCGACAGCTAGTTAAAAAAAAATGGAAAAATGAAACATAACCTACAGCTTTTGAGATATTTTCTATATCTAGTTGAGCACAAATACATACATATATAGTCAAACTATCCACATCCCTGGCAAATTCTGACTTAAAGTTACTTTCAAGAGTTCACACTTAGCTGATGATTGATTATAAGCAAGTTTGGCATGCTGTCCCGGGAGAGAGCCCTGAGCTCAAAAGGTCCTTGAGCCCTGGGCTCCCTCCTGTTTGCAGGGCGAGAGGAAAGCCTTGAGCTCAGGTTGATCTGGACAACTCCCCCTTGATAAGAACTGATGACTAAAAATTGAATGCTATGAAGAGATATGCTGCAGGATGAGAGATTGACTGTAGTGCAAAATTCAGATTGATCAATTCAATTGTTTTGCATGTTTTTGGAATGTGGGAGGAAACCGGAGAACCCGGGGAAAACCCAGGCGAGCACGAGAAGAACATGCAAACTACGCACAGAAACGACCACCGGCCTGTTAAAAGACTAGAACCGGTGACGTTCTTGCTGTGAGGCAACAGTGCTAACCACTGGGCCACCGTGCCACCCTATGGAGGAAAAGGTGAAGAGGTAGGGGTGGAAGGGGGATTCTTAATCGAAGATGACTGTAGTGAAAAACCCTGGCTCTTTTTAGTGGGTTAGGTATGGCCTGATTGGTGGATCACACGTAACAAATGCAGAACCAGCCGTGTTCAATCATAATCATTTGATCCTCTCGAAATTAGTTTATGAATAGAGTTCACTTTATTCAACTAACAAGTTTTTTTTTTTTTTTTTTAACAGAAATGACGCAGGCTTCTTCCAAAAACCGATAAGGCGATGTACAAGAGGCATCATTGTGTGGAAGAAAAACATTTCTTAGCTTTTATTTACATTTGAACAAACTTAAAGTCAGAATTTGCTAGGAGTATGGATCATTTTAAGCTTGACTGTATATACAGTTGAAATCAGAATTATTAGCTCTCATAAATATTTTTCCCCCAATTTCTATTTAAAGTTTAAGTGTTTCTATCGAAACATAATAGTTTTAATAACTCATTTCTAATAACTGATTTATTTTATCTTTGCCATGATGACAGTAAATAATATTTGACTAGATATTTTTCAAGACACTTCTATACAGCTTAAAGTGGCATTTAAAAGCTTAACTAGGTTAAATAAGCTAGTTAGAGTAATAAGGCAAGTTATTGTATAATGATGGTTTGTTCTGTAGACAATCTTAAAATATATTGCTTAAGGGCCCTAATAATATTGACCTTGAAATGGCTAAAAAAATGAAAACTCCTTTTATTCTAGCCAAAATAAATCAAATAAGACTTTCTCCAGAAGAAAAAAATATTATCAGATATACTGTGAAAATTTCCTTGCTCTGTTAAACATCATTTGGGGAAATAATGAATTTATAGGTTTAATGCATGTGTTAAGCTTACACGCCGCCTCTAGCCATCTGTTTGCTTCATAGACTTCTCTTCTGACACCGCTGATTTCTGTGTCGGGAAGGTGGATGGTGGTGAGGCGACAGTTGGCTTAAACGTTTATGATGCTTCATCTTCTGTCATTGCTTCTGACTCTATGTATATTCTATCGGGTGGAACAGATTTGATGTGTCCCCGATGCTAGTCGGCATCTCTCCCGCACATTTAAATCTGTATTTAGGGCACACTTCAGGGCAAACTTTCTGCGGCGGAGCTAACCAACTGCTGTGCTGAGCGCTGGCTGGCAGCATATCTGTGATGTCACTTGCGTGATGACGTACGTCACGCTCTTTCAGGGAGGTGATCAATAACCCGATGGTCACACTGTTTGAGCTCCAGCGTTCTTCTTTGGAGAGAGGAGAAACTTACAGAAGGACAACCATCTGTGCAGCAATCCACCAATCAGGCCTGTAAAGTAGAGTGGCTATTATTTAAATAATAAATACTGGTCTGAGAAATGCATCTAAATGTGAAATTCATAATTGTTTTTGTAGAAAAATACAAAATTTACGAAAAATTCCACGCACCTTTATTTAATTGTTTGATTAAAACTAAGAACATGAAGGAATACATTGGGACCCTCTCAAAAAACAAGATGGTACATCTCAAGGCATTAAGCTGTGATCACACTGCACTTTTTGGACTTCCACTCATACGCAAGCAAATGCAGCAGACTGAAGAGGCAAGCTCGTGTGACAAGTTTCGCAAGTTGCTGCGTTCCAAAGGTCAAGATTGGTGAACTCTGACTTGCAAAATCGCATCATATGATTGCGTACGATCGAAGATGAAAATGTGACCTCTCTGTAGAGAATTTTTAAAAATATGGAGCAATCACATGTTCATCAACGTCTAATCATCCTGCTCCTTTTCACAGCACCGCATGACAGAATTGCACATGCTCAAACTCTAGTGCGATCATGGCTTTAATCTTAATAAATAAATAAATAAATAAAACCATGTCAGGCTGCTGTCACTTTGAGAGTGATGCACAAATCCAATGTACTGATCCATTTTTCTTTTCTTTATTTTCACTTAAGATATTTCATTCATATTCTGAGTGATGTGTGTTACTGCGTATTACTTTAATTAACTTGAAGCATGTCCCATGCTGTATTTTCTCATCTGTTTTATCACAGTAACTCAATAAAAAAAGTAGCTAATTTAGCAAACATTAACTAGCAAGCTAAGGTCACTTGAGCAGCACAGCGCTTTGCTGTTTTCTTACTGTTTTCTTCAGTACTCATAATTTAAGGCTGTTTTTTTCCCAGTTCGAAAAGAGAGCACTATATTTACTGCAAATGATGCATCAATTTATTCATTGGCCAAAAACTAATGCAAAGTAGTCCATTTAAGACTGATGAAATTACAAGTTTGCAAGATATAAATTACAAAATACTCAAAGATATTTAAATATGAAGAGTTCAGATGCAAAAACCTCTAAAAGCTGTTTGAAATTTCCTTCAAAAATGAGGATTTTTATTAGGCTTCTGTCTGTAGGTTCAGTAATTTCAAGTTGATGGTGACGAATACACTCCTTTAAAGGTGTTTAAAATGAAATAACTGAACATAAACAGGAGTCTGACGAAAATGCTCATTTTCAATGGAATGGAGGTTTTTGCATCTGAACTCTTCATATGTATTTTAAGGCACTGCAGTACCTGTCAATTTATATATATATATTGGCTCTATGCTTTTTCAGTTTTTCTTTTTCAGTCTTTTGTAAAGAAAACATGCAAAGTATACAGTTTTTAGCACTTTGTTAATTTATATATGTAGATTTCAATAATAGTATATGTTTTAAATTACATTTTCCACAAAATAAATTGTCAATGTAAAAAATGTAATGACAAAAAGACAAGATAAACCAATATTTCTATGTTGCTTTAACTTATTTTCATGAGTTAATCAGGTTTCAACTAAATTTTTTAAGTTAAACTTTTTTAGTCAGTTTTATGGATCTAATTTAGGATGACTATAAAAGTAAACTTTCACACACACTCATACACTACAGACAATTTAGCCTACCCAATTCACCTGTACCACATGTCTTTGGGCTCCGGGGGAAACCCAAGCACCCGGAGGAAACCCACGCGAACGCAGGGAGAACATGCAAACTCCACAAAGAAACAACAACTGAGCCGAGGCTTGAACATGCGACCTTCTTGAGGCGACAGCACTACCTACTGCACCACTGCGTTGCCTAAATATCTAATTATCTATCTAATCTAGCTATTTTCTAAAGATATTTATTTTTATTTACAGAGGGATATTTTAAGCAATTTAGTAGCCATTTATCTTATATTATGAAGCAAACAAACTAATTAAAAAAACCAAAGTCAATGGTTTTACTGACTTTTCTTTGTAAAAGTAACTAATCATCTTCTACAGTGCATATATACCACAGATGTAATTCCAAAAATGGATAAAAACTTTTCATTAGTATAGTTCCTTTTTAAATTATGATATTATCATTACTTTTTTTTTTTTTTTTGCTATTTTCTGCAAAAAAGCTTTGGGTCTGAAAGATTTCTTATTGTTTTTAAAATACAATAAAACAATCATAAAAAATTATAATACATAATCTTGGCTTAATATGTGTTAAAATCTAAGTATGTTTTACAAAGCAAATATACTTAATTACATAATTTGAACATTTAATTATATAAAATTTGAAGAAAATATTAAATTCTGAGTTATGGAGTCATAAGAAAGAGACACCCAAAATTGACTAAAAGCACTTTAAACATGGGTTTGTACTAGAAAAGTATGCAAATTAAGACGAATATAGCAAAACAATGCCTCATTTGCACATATAGACGTAGCATTTTATAAAACTTAAATTTCTAATGTAATACAGTTGTAGTCTGAATTATTAGCCCCCCTGTTTAGTTTTTTCAACACATTTCCAAACACAATAGTTTTAAAAACTCATCTCTAATAACTGATTTATTTGATCTTTGCCATGATGACAGTAAATAATATTTGACTAGATATTTTTCAAGACACTTATATACAGCTTAAAGTGACATTTAAAGGCTTAACTAGGTTAATTAGGTTAACTAGGCAGGTTAGGGTATTTAGGCAAGTTATTGTATAACGATGGTTTGTTCTGTAGACTATTGAAAAACAATATAGCTTAAAGGGGCTAATAATTGAATCCCTATAATATGGCTTTAAAAAAATTAAAAACTGCTTTTAGTCTAGCCGAAATAAAACAAATAAGACTTTCTCCAGAAGAAAAAATATTATCAGACATACTGTGAAAATGTTCTTGCTCTGTTACACATCATTTGGGAAATATTTAAAAAGGAAAAAAAAAAATCAAAAAGGGGCTAATAATTCTGACCTCAACTGTAGGTCAAATTGGGAAACGCATTTAACCCTATTCTCAATACAATGCAATTCAAATACTCTCTGCTTCCATCCAATGAGGCCTAAAGAACAAAATAATCCTACTTTTCTATCTTTAATGAGGAAAATGGTTTGCAACTTTATTCAGAAGTGGCACTTGCCTGCGTGGTGTGCACACATTTCTTGTTAGTAGTGTTTTTTGTGGTCTAAACGGGGTGAGCAGCAGTATGTGGCCAGCGTGACCTGACATGCCTCTGAAGCTGGAGGGGGTTTTGACCTTTGCTCCTGGGCTTCAAACCTACGAAGATGAAAAAAGGGATTGGTTAGGAGGGCGACTCCTTAAACAAGAGCTTCTGTTTTAGACAGGAATGTCAGTTCCATAAAAAGATGCCTATAGAGAAGCCGAAAGAGAACAGAGAGTTAATGAAGATATAAAAGAGTATGTGTGTGGAAGACTGCGGCTAGTTGTCACCAAGGGTGTATTAAGTGCTGCATTTTACTAATTATGAGTGTTTTATGTTTGTTTCAGATGTATTGATATCTTTAGGGATTTAAAGTAATATTCTAAGCTCATGATACAGTTTAAGGCAAAATCATTACCTGTTGCTTCACATTTTAATTGATTTTCAAATATAAAAAATTTAATAAATTAGTTTTTACATTTAAAAAATAACAATTAAATTACACGTCAAATTACAGAAATATGCTGTAAACTAACAGATGTTAAATTACAGGAATTTCCTTAAATTTAAATTTCTGGTAAATTTCTGTAATTTAATATCCATTATTTTACGGTAAATTTCTGTAATTTAACGGTTGTTATATTACTTTTTTTTCCGACAACCCAGCTGCTGGACATAAATTGTAAAATTATAATAATAATATGTAATAGTATATTGATAAATAGTAAAATTATATATATATATATATATATTCCATTTATCCATTTCTCTCAGTGAATATATATATCTATTAGATGTATATATAAATATATCTAATGACTTATAGTCTTAATATATATAAGTCATTAGATATATTTAGAAATTGAAAGATAAATACAATTAAATTAAAGCAAAATAAATTTACAACCTACAAAATTTCAAAAAATATTTTTTTACAATTTTAGTTTTTCTTAATTTTTCCACTTTTTATGTTAGTATTTAATATCTTTCTATAACATCTAAATTTGGCTGTACTATTTTTGGACCGTTATTGTAAGTAGTTTTGTTAGATAAGCTCCAGATTTGAAGAACAAGGTTTAACTATATATATATATATATATATATATATGTTTAACAGAGCAAAGAAAATTTTCACAGTATGTCTGCTAATATTTTTTATTACCAAAAAAAGTCTTATTTGTGTTATTTTGGCTACAATAAAAGCAATTTTAAATTTTTTAAACACCAGTTCAGTTTAAGGTCAAAATTATTAGCCCCTTTAAGCCTAAATACCCTAACCTGCCTAGTTAACCTAATTAACCTAGTTAAACCTTTAATGTCACTTTAAGCTGTATAGAAGTGTCTTGAAAAATATCTAGTCTAATATTATTTACTGTCATCATGACAAAGATAAAATAAATCAGTTATTAGAGATGAGTTATTAAACTATCATGTTTAGAAATGTGTTGAAGAAATCTTCTCTCTGTTAAACAGAAATTGGGGAAAAAATTAAACAGGGGACGAATAATTCAGGCAGGCTAATAATTCTGCCTTCAACTGTATATATATATTTTATTTTTGCACAATGCAATTTAATGCTATTTTTTGTAGGTAAAATAAATATAAAAATGTATTAAATGAGACTTTTATACTTTTTTTAAAGCTGTTTACCATTTATATTTATATAAATTTATATAACCTACCTTTAACTAAGAGGTCAACATGTGTTAAATGAATTGTACAAAGTGCAAATATTTAATGGCCTTTTTGTAGACAAGACATGAGCATGAAAAATCCTCACAGGTGTAAACGTGTGACAACTAGCCCCAGTGTCTCGAAAATGCCTGCAGAGAGAGTATATGAGAGAGCTGTAAATAAAGCACAACATCAGTTTTCATCATTAATTACACTTTTATACAGAGAAATGAACTTGACCACTCTCTGAAATACAAAACTTTGCGCTCCTATCCAAAAACAGCATATTTGATCATGAATTATCAGGCTGGAAGACTGTGACCAATGAGCTTAACAAGGCAGAATACTGGGCTGTAACAGATTTGCTAAACACCCCCACCAGCCTCTCTGCCATAATGTGATGTTTATGGCCATTTTTACCCCCGGACTTCAGTCATGCGATGGAGCAATAAATTACTCAAGCAGGCCCGCTGGAGGGAAAGTCCTTGTGACTCTGTGCTGCAGCTCTAGCGGAGAGAGCGTGACATAGAGGGTCACGTCTGCAGATAACCTTGTGTTTTCTCGCTGTTTTTCTCCGACACTGCGGCCGCCTGGAAAGCACACATTACCCACCCATCGAGGGTTGCGATCTGCTCTGGGTGGAACAGCGTTGACACGTAGCATCAATACATCTTCAGCCCGACGTTTTTGTTCCTGTCATTTTCATGTCCAGCAATAGATAAAGAGGCCAAAAACAGGAAATAAGTGGGAACTTGCGGAATCCTGAAAAATTACACTGTTGATCTTTGGGCAGATTAAAAGTTCAACTCTAGTTGGTTAAGCTTATTATAGTCAAAGTCTCAAAGGACAGCGGATGAGACATTTCACCTTGTAATATTCACATTTTTGGTCGATGATTTGCCAGTTCAATGTTTCGAGCATTTGAATGCATCCAAAGGGACAATCCTGTAAGACTTTAAAAAGTGACAAAAACACACTGGCTGTTTCTCAATATGCGTTCTTCAGCATTCTTGTGTCCTCATGTTCCCATGTAACGTCATCAACTGCCCAGTTTTAGTTCCAAAACTCAAGACCGCAAGAACGGAGGATGCGTGAACGTTCCCGGTTGTAGTCTTGATATCAAGGACGCATCTATGCAGACTTGATCGCAAAACTCGCTTGAGAAGTCCCAGAAGTCATTGCGGCTGCATAAAGAAGGTGGGAAGCGCAGCATTTAGTCATTTTATTTGTAAATGGCGCCTTTCTAGACACCCAAGGTCGCCATACAATAAGCATTAACAGCCATGCTAAAACAAATAATAAAACATTACCAAACAAGCATTGACCACACAAGCAGGGCCGGAGTGGGACTCCTTTTCAGCCCTGGAGTTTCAAGCCTCAGACCGGCCCACCTCAGTTCACGACTGACTATATTAAAATAGTGTCATTAGAAACTGATTTGGAAATGACCTTAACAAGTTTTTTTATTTTTTGAGAAAACAGCTGCTTTAGAACTTCAAATGTTCAACAACCCTAACAGTATTATATGTCTTAACAATAAATATGAAAAAAATAAATTCCTTTGATGAGGATCGAACTCGGGTGAGCGACGTCGTAACCTAACGTGCTAACCACTGGACCACAATCTTACAGAGAATTGTGACTCATCTGGCTCATTAACCTACAGGCTGCATCTTGCTCACGAAGCTGCGAGAAAATGAATAAAAAGAGCAGAGCTGCGGTAAAATAATGAATAAAAAGGCTGTGTTTTAAAAATGTTAAAGTGTTTTAAAAATTTTAAAAATGTGACTGCTGAGAGCAACAGATTCTGGAGCTAGGGAAACCGGCCCTCGCGGCCAAAAAACAGACCGGCCCACCGGGAATTCTCCCGGTCCTCCTGATTAGCCAATCCGGGCCTGCACACAAGTATAAACACACATTGCGAATATAAAATAACATGATAAAAAATGTTAAAGGAAAGCCTGCTTAAAAAGATGGGTCTTTAGACGAGATTGAAATATGTCAAGACTATCACTGCTCCTTAGATCCAGGGGAAGCGAGTTCCATAGCTGAGGAGCCATAGAACTAAATGATCTGTCTCCCATTGTGCTAAATCGAGTGCGAGGTGGTACCAGGGAGAAGGAGTTGGCTAATCTGAGAGTGGGAGAAGGGGTGTAAATATGGAGAAGTTGGGTGAGATATTGAGGAGCAAGATTATGAAGTGCCTTGAAAGTTAGAAGTAATATTTTAAAATCAATACGAAACTTTACCGGAAGCCAGTGAAGCTGATAAAGGAGTGGTGTAACAGGCTCATGAGATGGAGTCCTAGAGATGACATGAGCTTCATGGTTCTGAACCAGGTGGAGTTTACAGAGAAGGAAGCCCAGTAAGTAGTGCATTACAGTAGTCAAGACGTGAAGTAACTAATGCGTGGATAAGAATTGCTGTGTTATTGGTTGTGAGAGAAGGGCGGAGACGAGTGATATTACACAGGTGGAAATATGTTGTACGTGTAATATTATTGATGTGACCGTCAAATGAGAGTGTGCTATCCAAGATGACACCCAAACTATTTACCTGCACAGAGGGAAGAAATGTGCTATTATCAATGTCTATTGTGAAATTATCAGCTTTATCAAAAACACTTTTAGTGCCGATGAGAAGGGCTTCGGTTTTATCGCTATTTACAAAAAAAAAAAAAAAAAAAAAAAAAAAAATATATATATATATATATATATATATATATATATATATATATATATATATATATATATATATATATATATATATAAGTATATAGGTAAGAAAGCAGCATCTCATTTTTCACTGTACACGTTCTCTGTTCTTGCGGTGTCCCGAGTTCGTTCATCTGAGGTAACTTAGCTAGACTGCTCTCTACAAGAACACAAGTCTGTTCTATGCGTTCTTGTAATTGAGCAATAGTCACTATGAAAGCTACAGGGGAGGATTTAACCAATATGCAAGGTGAGTGACCGCATATCGCCCAAGGAAATCTGAGAACCCCCAAATTAACACCTAGAAGTATAAATTATACCTATAAATTATATATAAAACATAATTTTCTATCGTATTTTGTATGATGAGGGTCTAAAAAATAAGTTTAATGTTTATTACATCGCAAATGCGCATCAATAATGGAGCAGTCTAGCAGTCAAAATAGGTAAAGATTTAGTTTCAAAAACTCAATAGTTTATATATCGTTTTTAGTTGTGAATCCATTTTAAGAAAACAAATCATTTAAAAAGTTTTACAAGATGCTTTACATGTTGTTGTTATTATTTTGCATTAAGACAAAATGTAGGAAAGGAGATCGAGTGATGTAAGAATAAGAACAGCAAAATAAATCAATGAAAAATAAATCAAAGTACAAAAGGTGCATTTTAGAACTTTCAGGCCCCATGGCCGGAATTGCTTAGGGACCCCAAATGACTAAATCCGTCCC